GGATGATTCTGGGGCTTCGCTCCTGTGACCCGGGCACTCGTTGCCTGAACCTGGGCCAGAACCGGGCTGAATCTGCCCCGCGCCCTGATGCACACTGGGGTCGGGGGACGCGCCGGGCGCAGGGGGCCCCTCCCTCCCCTCCCTGACTTCCCTCCCTCCTCCTCCCTCCCCTCCACTCCCCTCTTCCCCCTCCCCCCCTCTCCTCCCCTCCCTGCCTCCCTCCCTGCCCCTCCCCTCCCCGCTCCCCCCTCCCCGCCCCTACCTCCCCGCCCCTCCCTCTCCTCCCCTCCCTGCCCCTCCCCTCCCCGCTCCCCCCTCCCCGCCCCTCCCTCTCCTCCCCTCCCTGCCCCTCCCCTCCCCCGCTCCCCCCCCCCCCGCCCCCCCCTCCCCGCCCCTCCCTCTCCTCCCCTCCCCGCCCCTCCCTCCCCTCCCCTCCCCGCTCCTCCCTCTCCTCCCCTCACTGCCCCTCCCCTCCCCGCTCCCCCCTCCCCGCCCCTACCTCCCTGCCCCTCCCCTCCCCCGCTCCCCCCTCCCCGCCCCTACCTCCCCGCCCCTCCCTCTCCTCCCCTCCCCGCCCCTCCCCTCCCCGCCTCCCCCTCCCCGGGGGCGGGGCCGCTGCTCCCGCGCTCCGGCCCCTCCTCGGCCACACAAAGGCCGGTCTCCATGGCAGCCGCGCGGGCCGGGGAGCAGCGCCGAACGCGGCCCGGGCGCCATCGCGTGCGGGCGGCGGACGAGCAGGTACGGAACGGGGTGCAGGCCGCGGGGCGAGCGGGGCGGGGGCCCGAGCGCTGAGCCCGCCCGGCTGCTCCGCGCGGCCCGCAGCGCCGCTCCCGGAGGCGCCCATCGCGCCGGGCCGGGCCCGGGGCTCCCGGCGGCGGGGAGGCGGCGGCCGGGCCGGGGCCCGCTCAGCCCGGGGCCCCGCGGGGCGCAGCGCCCCCTCCGGCCGCCGCGTCTCCCCGGCGCCCCCGCTCCGGGTCCGGGTCCGAGCCTCCCTCCCTCCCGGGCCCGGGCACAGGCCGCCCCCGCGCCCAGCCTTGTTTCGGGGTGCACGCCCGGCTTCTCCCCGGGCCGAGGCCGCCCGGGGCCCCGGGAGGAGGACTTGGGCCGGGCCGGGCCGGGCCGGGCCGGAAGGGGTGCAGGTTCCGAGTTGGGGCCGGCGGCCCGCGCTGCTGCGGGGGGACAGCTCCTGGCGAGGCTGTTGGTGAGGGGCCGGGCGAACACCCCGGGCCCAGGAAGTCTCAGATCCGGGGTCCGGCGCCCCCACTTGGCCCTGCCCCTCTGCGCCGCCTCCTGTGGGGAGCCCCCTGCCCCTCCACGCTCCCTGTCTGGGCTCCTCTTCCCAGCAGCGCGGAGTGGACAGCAGCTCCGTCTGCGCCACCGTGGCCGGGTGCGGGTCAGGACCGGGGAGGCTGGGCCTCCAAGCTGGTGGAATGTTCCAGAGCGGGGGGCTCTCCAGGGAGCTCCCCTTTCACGTCTAACTTCAGCCTCTGCTCCCGCCCCCGCCCACCCCAGGGAGGGGAGTGGGAGAGCGGGGCGAGGGAGCCGGAGGTGGGGCTTTCGGCCCCCCCACACCCAGATGCCCCCCTGGGTGGAGGGCAGAGCGCCGCGGGCCTGCGGGGGGACCGGCCGAGGGGCTGGGCCGCTCTGCCAGGGTCCCAGGAGGGTGGTGCGGCCGCGGGTATTTTTGGGGTGACAGGGCTCAGGAATCCCCAGAGAAGATTGAGCACCAGCAGGTGGGCTCCGGCCTCCTCCTCCTCCTCCTCCCCTCGCACCTCCTCCCCTCGCACCTCCTCCCCTCGCACCCCCTGGGCCCGGCCGGAGCCGCCGAGGGTGGCAGGAAGCCTGAGGTCTGGCCGGAGCTCCTCACCCAGGAGGGGAGGGAAGTTGCCGAGAAAAACAGGGTTTGGAATTCCAGCCCCCCGCCCCCGCCGGCCGCCTGCCAAGAAGGAATATTTTGGATTATCCAGCCGTGTCCAGCCACCCAAGGGGGAGGCCGCAGCCTGGGAGAGGGATCCACTTCCGGGGCTGCGGGTCGCGGCCCCGGGAGGAAGAGCCGGGCTAGTCCGGGCAGCTCCCCTCCCCCTCCCCAGGCAGCTCCGGCTGCCCCGACCGGTCATGGGGGGCGGGGTGGGAGGGGATGCGTCACCCTCAGATGGAGAACGCCCAAGGGTGGCCCCAGCAGGCTCGCCGAGCCCGCCTTGGGGAGGCCATGGGGCTGGAGGAGCCCTGAGCCCCATCCAGGGTCCCCGCCCGGCCCAGCCCAGGACCCTCCCTCCCCGAGGCCCTGGGACCACGAACGGCCTGGAGCTGGGCTCGGGGACAGCCTGGGCCGGGTGCTCACACCCTGAGCTTCCCAGAGCAGGCCGGGTGCCGGTGTGGGTGTGACTGAGGCGGCCTAGGGTGGGGCAGGGGTCTCCCCGAGGCTGAAGCCGAGGCCACCCACCTGCCCCCTCACTGACCCTCAAGGAGCAGCTGGCACACAGCCCCCCCCCCCATGGCCCAGCTCACACAGCCCCCCCCCCCATGGCCCAGCTCTGGCCCCCATCATGTCCCCCGCCAGCCTGTCCCACAGGTGAGGCCCTGAGGTCGCTGCTGGGTGGCGGCCAGGTGGGCCGCCTGGGTTCTCGCCGTGTGTGTGTGTGTGTGTGTGTGTGTGTGTCCAGAGCCAGGCTCACCGTGTGTGTGTGTGTGTGTGTGTGTGTCCAGAGCCAGGCTCACCGTGTGTGTGTGTGTGTGTGTGTGTCCAGAGCCAGGCTCACCGTGTGTGTGTGTGTGTGTGTGTGTGTGTGTCCAGAGCCAGTCTCACCGTGTGTGTGTGTGTGTGTGTGTGTCCAGAGCCAGTCTCACCGTGTGTGTGTATGTGTGTGTGTGTGTGTGTGTCCCCAGAGCCAGTCTCACCGTGTGTGTGTGTGTGTGTGTGTGTCCCCAGAGCCAGGCTCCCAGCAGCTCATGCAGGGCCTCATGGCAGAGGCAGAGCCGGCAGCTGGGAGAGCGCAGGAAGCCGGGGGCCTGGCCCCGGCCCAGCCGAGTGGAGCAGAAGAGATGGGATTGGAAGGCACTGGGGGGCTGGCAGCCTGGGGAGGCCCATATGGCACTGGCCCCGGCCCCCAGGAGCCGTCCTGGACGGGAGCAGATCCGATCCGGAGGCCCCGAGGTGTCTGTTCCCCCCGGGAGGGTGTGTGTGTGAGTGTGAGTGACAGGCAGGGGTGCCCTGGTGAGGAGAGGCCGCCCTCTGCCACCAACAGTCTTCCCGCCAGCAGGAAGTCCCGCCTCAGTTTTTTTTTCTTTTCTTTTAATCCTCACCTGAGGACATTTTTTCCCATGATCTCTAGAGTAGAATGGAAGGAGGGGAAACAGATACAGTGATACGGCACATCAACATGAGAGAGAGAGAGAGAGAGAGAGAGAGAGAGAGAGAGAGAGAGAGAGAGAGAGAGAGAGACATCGATTGGTTGCCTCCTGAATGGGGGCTAGGGACCCTGCAATCAAGGTTCGCCCTGCGCTTGACCGGAACCAGACCCGTGACCCCTCTGTCCACTGCTGAGCTCTAACCACTGAGCCACGGGCCAGGGCCTGCCTCCATTTCCTCGCTGCAGCAGCCCCCTGGTCTCCTGGGCGGAGGACGGGGGTGAGGAGCCGCCTTGGACCCGTGCGGGGAAAGCTGGGGGCGGTGAGGGGCGAGGGGGCCCCCAGGCCGGGCCGTGGAGAGAGTTCCCCCAGCCTCCACTCCCGCGGAGGCGGAGGCGGAGGCAGGTTCTGGCCGGGCCGGTTGAGTCACCGGTGCAGGCAGGCGCCGGGCAGAGTCCCTCTCCCCAGGCTCAGGCTGTTTGTGTTCGGGGCGGGGCCTCCAGGTGATTGTCCGTGGTCGGCTCTAATCCCCGGCTGGGGAACGTGGGACCGTGGGTGATTCAGGGGGCGTGGCACCCGGCTTCCCTTTTCTCTCCTGTTCTTCCCCTCCGAGGTTTCACATCCCCTGCCCGCTGGGGTTTTGTCTGCCCCGGGGTGGAGGTGGGGGTGGGGGTGGGGGTGGAGGAAGAGGTGAGGCGGGAGCCAGCCCTGCCCTAGGCTCCCCCTGCAGGTGCAGCTGCCCTCCGGCCCCCCACCCAGGGCTAGGAACTCCCTCTGCCTCACTCGCTCTGCCAGTCACCTGCCAGGCAGCCCGGCCCCAGGTGGCAGCCCCACCTTCCTGGGAGGAACCCAGGCCGGGCTGGACTGGAGCCCGGGTGTCTGTTCCTGCCCCCGTGTCGCCTCTCAGCCACCTTCCCACACCGAGATGTGCCCCCACCGCTGCCCCACAGGTGGCCTCCGCCCCCCTGGTGCCTGCGTCCTGTGGGCGGAGCCGGGATCAGGGGCGGAGCCGGGATGGGGCGCTGGGTTGGGATCCGGAGGCAGACCCGGCTCCGTGCCCACAGCCGCCTTGACCTCCGAGACGGTGTGACTTCCGAAATCTGGCAGTTCCCCGTCCCGGTGCCAGATGGGTCCCGGCCGGGTGGGGGCAGGGGCCTTGGCGCAGGGAAGGGGAAGAGGAACGGGGCCTTTTGGGTGCACCCTGGGCTCTGGCCCCAGCTCTGCCCTGGGCATTGCACGTGGGGGTGTGGACACCAGATTCCCGGGGTGCCCTGCCCCCACCCAGTTCCCGTGTGGGCGCCGGGCAGAGGGGCAGGGTGGCGATCAGGTCTCTGGGCCCCGCCGGGCCCTCAGTAAGAGGGAGATCCTGAGGCCACATGGACCGGGCAGAGCGTCCCCAGCCGCCTTGGGCTCTGTCTGGGGCGCCCGCGCCCGCGCCCCGCCGTGCAGGCGTGGCCGTGGGTGGGGCTGGGGGCCTCGCTGGGGGGCGCCCCGCTTGGCTGTCCAGGCCGGGCTGTTCTGGAGGCCACAGCAGGGGTGTGCCAGCCGGCACGGGTGGCTGTGGGGAAAGGACTGGCTTGGTGCCCGCCCGCAGCTGGTGCTGCCCGCGGCTGGGCCTTTGATTGCTGGTGGGGGGTGCTGGGCAGAGGCCAGGGAGGGGGCGCTGTCTTGGGGTGCAGGGGCCTGTGGTGTGCGTGGTGCAGAGGGTGTGGGACGGCAGAGGGGGGGACCTGGGACGTGGAGGCCCCGCGGTGGAGAGGTGGGTTTGAGGACCAGTTAGAGGTGGGGTGCTGGGCCTTCCTGGGTTCCAGCTCCCAACCCCCACCCTGGGGTGTTTTCAGAATTGGGGGGCTGCTTTGCAGGAGCACCAGGGCACGAGGTGCCCTCTGCAGGGGAAAGGGGGGGCTCAGCAGGGGAGAACCCATTTTCAGTCCAGCCACCAAGTGGGCAGGGGTGGGGCGGGCTGTGGAGGGGGGCTCCAGCTCGGCCCCCCCCTCAGCCTGGCAGAGGCCTGGCCAGGGGCCCTGAGGGGCTTGGCCTCCCCAGCCTGGTTCTGGCCTGTGGCCTGACGTCAGGGGGTGACCTGGGTAGCTCAGGCCCCAGGAGAGGATGTCAGGGAGAGGGAGGGAAGGCGGGAGGCGTGCTGTCCCCAGGCCCAGCTGAGCTCCTGGAGGCGGCCTCTGTCCCATCCTGTGTGGCAGCCTCTTGCTCAACTGAGTGACCACCGACGGGGAAGGGGGTGGCCCTGACCCCGGGGAGCTGGGCAGGCAGGCCAGGGGCCATCTGACCCCTGCCCCAGTGACCCCCCGAGGGCCTCTCACCCTGAGTGGGGCGTTTGCTGCCTGGGATCGCGGGCTCTGCCTTCCCAAAGCCCCGGTGTCTGTCCTGTGGTCGCTGCCCACTGTCCCACCAGCCCGGCCTCGGACCCTGTCAGCGCCCCCAGCACCGTGTCTCTCACCAGGCCCTCAGCCCCCTGGACCGGAGATTGCACTGTTCCCTGGGGTTTTCCCAATGCAGGGCGGGGGCTGCTCCAGGACACGGGCCCTCCTCCAGGCCAGCCCACTCTGCCCCTCCTGGCCCCTTAGGCCTCCTGGGCTGACCCGGCGCTGGGACTGGACAGACCCCTCCCGCCCACAGCCTCTCCCGCCCACGTGCCTGGGTCTGGGGTGCCTCCTTGGGCTCCCTGTCCTGAGGATATTCCGGGGCACAGGGCCCCATTGCCATCACAGACGTGTGTGGCTGCACACGTGTGGTCACGTGGACGTGCGTGGGGGCTGGCACGGCCGTCTGGCACGGTGCCCCCAGCTAATTGTGGGGTTCGGCTCTGGCGGAGGGGGCGGGGCCGGGGTGACCGCCGAGGCGCTGACAGACTGACGGGGAGATTATAGGCCTGCTGCTCCTCACGCTTTCCCCCTCCCCCGTCAGCCCCTCGCGCCGCCCCCGCCTCCTGGACGCGCGCGCGCGCGCGCACACACACACACACACACACACACACACACACTCATGGGCTGGGAGGGGGCTGGTCCTGGGCCCCTGCAGCCACCCAGAGCCCCAGGCGGCCCTGATCCAGCCGGCTTCGGGGGGTGAGCCTGCAGGGGAGATAAACGTGGGCACTTAGAGGAGAGGAGTGTGTGTGTTTGGGGGAGGGTTGCCGGCGGTTAGGGAGGCAGACACCGGAGATCTGTGCTTGTCACTGAGCCCCAATATCCGGAGGATCGCCCGTCTCTCCCAGCTGGGATTGGGTAAGCGCCCAGCCACGCAGGAGTCCCTGTGGTTGACCAGCTGTCTGGACGGCTTCTTCCCCATCCGTGGCCGGAGGCCTCTCTGTGCCGTGGCCGCCCCGGCCCCAGCTGGCCCCAGCCCACGTCTGGTACCTCTGACCTCTCTCCCCTCTTCCCGTCCCTCGCCCTCTGACAACACCAGCCCCCGGGGAGGTCAGCTCAGGAGAGTGATCTTCCTTTCCACGTTCTTTTTTTTAACGTATATTTTCATTGATGTCCGAGAGGAAGGGAGAGGTAGAGAGAAACTTCAATGACCAGAGAGAATCATGGACCGGCGGCCTCCTGCACGCCCCCTTCTGGGGGTGATGCCTGCCACCCCGCGTGTGCCCTTGACGGGGAATCGAGCCCTGACCTCCTGGTTCCTGGATGGACACCCGACCCCGAGCCACGCCGGGCGGGCCTGCGGGCGGTGGTTTTCCTAAGCCAGTCGCCACACGTTAGGCGGGTGGAGGCAGGGCACGGCCGATGGCCTGCGGCTCGGGGTCCCGCCTGGGTCGCCCGCCCCCCACCAGCCCAGAGGCTGCAGTTGTGGGGAGGGAGGGTGAGGCAGAGACCCCGGCTCCGCCTGAGGACAGGAGGACGGACATCCTGGTGACCAGACCTCCCGGGGACCTGACCTCGGCCTCAGGGCCAGAAGGGCCCGGATCCCCTCCAGGAGCTCCCTGGGCCCGGAGCTGCGCGATGCGCGTTCCCCTCCACTGTGGTCTGGGGCCTGTGACCCTCCCACTCCGCCCACCTGGGTGACCTTCCCCCTCCGCCCACCTGGGTGGCTCCTCCGCCCACCTGGGTGACCTTCCCCCTCCGCCCACCTGGGTGGCTCCTCCGCCCACCTGGGTGACCTTCCCCCTCCGCCCACCTGGGTGACCTTCCCTCCGCCCACCTGGGTGACCCTCCCCCTCTCTGCCCACCTTCCCCCTCCGCCCACCTGAGTGACCCTCCCCCGCCGCCCACCTGGGTGACCTTCCCCCTCCGCCCACCTGGGTGGCTCCTCCGCCCACCTGGTGACCCTCCCCCTCCGCCCACCTGGGTGACCTCTCTCTGCCCACCTGGGTGACCCTCCCCCTCTCTGCCCACCTTCCCCCTCCGCCCACCTGGGTGACCCTCCCCCTCCGGCCACCTGGGTGGCTCCTCCGCCCACCTGGTGACCCTCCCTCCGCCCACCTGGGTGACCCTCCGCCCACCTGAGTGACCCTCCCCCTCCGCCCACCTGGGTGACCCTCCGCCCACCTGGGTGACCTTCCCCCTCCGCCCACCTGGATGACCTTCCCCCTCCGCCCACCTGGGTGACCTTCCTCCGCACCACCACTCCGCCCACCTGGGTGACCCTCCGCCCACCTGAGTGACCCTCCCCCTCCGCCCACCGGGGTGACACTCCGCACACTGGGTGACCTTCCCCCTCGCCCACCTGGATGACCTTCCCCCTCCGCCCACCTGGGTGAACCTTCCCCCTCCGCCCACCTGGGTGACCCTCCCCCCCGCCCACCTGGGTGACCCTCCGCCCACCTGGGTGACCCTCCGCCCACCTGGGTGACCTTCCCCCTCCGCCCACCCTGGATGACCTTCCCCCTCCGCCCACCTGGGTGACCTTCCCCCTCCGCCCACCTGGGTGACCCTCCCCCTCCGCCCACCTGGGTGACCCTCCGCCCACCTGGGTGACCCTCCGCCCACCTGGGTGACCCTCCCCCTCCGCCCACCTGGGTGACCTTCCCCCTCCGCCCACCTGGGTGACCCTTCCCCCTCGCCCACCTGGGTGACCCTCCCCCTTCCGCCCACCTGGGTGACCCTCCCCTCCGCCCACCTGGGTGACCCTCTCTCCGCCCACCTGGGTGACCTTCCCCCTCCGCCCACCTGGGTGGCCTTCCCCCTCCGCCCACCTGGGTGACCCTCCCCCTCTCTGCCCACCTTCCCCCTCCGCCCACCTGGGTGACCCTCCCCCTCCGCCCACCTGGGTGACCTTCCCCCGCCCACCTGGGTGACCTCTCTCCGCCCACCTGGGTGACCTTCCCCCTCCGCCCACCTGGGTGACCTTCCCCCGCCCACCTGGGTGGCCTCCTGCGGGGGAGGACGCAGAGCCCTCCCATCCCTGCGGGTCGGGTCGGGCGGCAGGAGGCGGCCGGAGCCCCGGGGCGGAGGGCTGACACCCTCCCCGGGAGGGTCGGGGGAGGCTCCGGTGGCGATGACGCAGGCCCGGCCTCCCCGCGCCCCGCCCGCCGCCGGCCCAGGTGCCGGGACCTTGGCCTCTCCCTCCCGCCTTCCCTCCGGTGAGTCAGGGCGCGGCCCCACCTCCGGTCCTGGGTCGGGCTGGCGGCGCGGAGGGGCCGGGCCGGGGTCGGACCCGGGACCCGAGGCCGCGGCCGGTGAGCGCGGGGGTGAGCGCGGGGCCGGGCCTGGCGCTCGGGGTGGCGGTCGCGGGCGCCCAGTCTCCCCTCGGAGCGGCGCCCGATGCCGCCGCGGCCCCGGTGGCTCCGCGGGGAGGCCGGTGGCGCCGGCGCGCTCCGCCCGGGCGCGGGGGGCGGGGGCCGGCTCCCGGCGTGAACTTTGACCCGCCCCCCAGCACCCCCCCTCGCGCCGGTTTGGAAAGCTGCCCGGCCCGGGTGCGGGGGCTGCCGGCTTGTCTGCTGATCTGCTGTGCGCGGCGGCTAATTGCAGATTTGCATTTGCGTCAGGGTCCCCAGGCCGCCAGCTGCCGGGGGAGGCGGGGGCGGGGAGGGGCGCCCCGCCTTCTCTGGGGCCCTGGGGGCAGGGAGGGGGAGGTGCCTGCAGCCACTCGCCTGGGGGTGCCCTCTCTGCCACCCACTTGCAGGCCCAGGTGCCCTCCACCGCGCTGGGACCCCCCCCCCCCCCCAACACACACACTCAGAGGCCCGGCCCGGCCTGGGCCTGGGCCCCCACCTGGTGAGCCTTCACCTGTGGCCCAGGCCCTGCCCCCCCCAGTACCGGTCTGGTCTCTGGGTGTGTCTGCTGGACCCTCCCTCATGGCTGCTTTCCGCTGTTTTGATTTTCTTGGTTAATCATCACCTGAGACTATGTTTCCTTTGGTTTGTTAGAGAGGGTGGAGGAGAGAGGGGAAGACAGAAATATCGATGTGAGAGAAACACAACATGGGCTGCCTCCTGCAGGCATCCTGACCAGGGCCGGGCCGGGCCGGGGAGGAGCCTGCCACCGAGGTGCATGCCTTGACGAATTGAACCTGGGACCCTTCAGTCCACAGGCCGACACTATCCACTGAGCCACACAGGCATTGCTGTCCTGGTGCTCTGGCTGGGCCGGGGACACACACACGGCCGTGTGTGAGGCTTGGGGGCCAGCTGCAGGGGCACAGTGCTCTTGGCTCTGTCCACTCTGTCACCCCCTCCTGGGTCCGTTGGGCTCAGACCCACACGTGTCCCCCTGGCCAGATCCTGCCTTCATCTGTGAAGACCATCGACACCAGCCGATAAGGGAGGATCTGCAGGGTCGGTCAGCATGGTGCCCCGGGGTTCCGGGGGATGGGTAGGAGTTTTCCAGGGGGCGTTCAGCGAAAGCAGAGATGTGGTGACGTCATGGGTACAGCCTCCACTGCAGGCACAGCCATAGGATACCCACTCACGGGCTCGCTCACACCGCAGGGCAGCTCACCGAGGTCCGTGCCATTACCAGCCCCGTGTTACACGTGGGGAAACTGAGGCACGGCGTCGCTTTGTCAGCAGCCCAGGAACACAGGTAGAAAATGACAGCCCAGTCAGAGCTCCGTGGTTGAGTGTCGGACTTAAGGACTTCGATTCCCTGTCAGGGCACATGCCTGGGGTGGGGGCTGGATCCAGGAGGCAGCTGGCCAGTGGTTTTCTCTGATTGTGGATGTTTTTATCTCTCCCTCTACTTTTCCCTCTAAAATCAATGAAAGTGCTTTTTTTTTTTTTTTTTTTTTTTAAAGAAAGTGACAGCTGGGGTTTGAACCCAGTGGTCTGGCTGTTGGAGGCCCCTGTGTGCTGGGCGGCGAGGGGCAGCTGTGGCCTCGGGCTCTGAGCACTCAGGGAGCCTCTTCTGAGGGGCCCTTTTGAGAGCTAGGTGAATGGAGGGGGTGGGAGGAGCAGGGCCGGCAGGGGTGCTTGCGAGCAGAGGCGCTGTGAGTTCGGAAAGGCCCTGGGACTTGGTGCTGAGGAGGGAGAGGGTCCGTTCTGTTGGGAGGGGACCCAGGGGCTGCCTCTGGGGGCATCTGAGACGGAGGCCCAGCCGGTCAGGCCCTGTGGGCGGCTGTGTGGGGGGCAGGGAGGGCCAGTGGAGGGCCGGGGCCTCCACAGCCTGCCGTGGGGTCCAGGTCGGGGCTGGAGGAGGCTGAGAGCAGGCATGGGCACATGAAGGCGCCATGTGGGCTGTGCCCCGAGGGTGGCCTCCACAAAGGCTGCCTCAGCCCCCTCTCCTGGGTCGGTCCCTCCTGGGTCCCTCCGTCCAGGGTCAGCGTTTCCCACCAGCCAGGGGCTGAGGACCTGAAGGGAAGTGCTGCTGCCCCTGGGCCCGCCTCCTGCCTCCTTGTCCCTCTGGACCCCCTTGTCCCCCCCGGGTCCAGGCCTGGTCCTGCTCGGAGTGTGGGTGAGGGTGACCCCGTTGGGCGGTGTGCAGCATAGGGCCGGTGGAGCAGGAGGTTAGAGGGTGGAGAGTGGGGTGGGCTGACCCCGGTGGAGGAGTAGTGGGGGCACCACACAGGGCTCAGTGGCCGAGCCTGGGTGTGGGGGGTTGGGGTAAGCCTGGAGGGATTGAGGAGGGAGGAGTCCCTGAGGCTGAGGGGAGCTGGAGGGAATGGGGAGGTCATTATTATGTACCTCTCTTTAGTCCAGAAATGCAATCTGCTATCTCCTGCACACCCCCTACTGGGGATGTGCCCGCATCCAAGGCACATGCCCTTGACTGGAATCGAACCTGGGACCCTTCTGTCCACAGGCCGACACTATCCACTGAGCCACACCGGTTAGGGTCCAAGAAAATATTTTTATTGATTGTTAGGGAGAGGAAGGGAGGGAGAGAAACGTTGATGTGAGAAAAACATCTATTGGTTGCCTCCTGTGTGAGCCCCAGCCGGGAATCAAACCCATGCCCTTTTTGGGGCAAGGGGCAGCACTGCAGCAGCCTGAGCCACTGGGCCAGGGCTGAAGGAATATATGTTATAAAACGTCTCACAAATGCAGCTCCTTTGCTGCCCCGCCCCCCGCCCTGCCCCTGGGCTCCACCATGTTTCCAAGTTGGTGGAAGCTCAGCAGTGAAACGCCTGTGTGCCCACAGGGACGCCTGGGGAGGTCCCAGAGTCCCCAGCTGCAGCCGCCTGGGCTCCCCCGGGTAGCACGGGCCCCCCTGGTGGTCCCTGTGGGTCCCAGGCGCTCTCGCTGGAGGTGGTGGCCAGCTTCTCGCCGTCACGGCCATCTGGGAAGTGGCCTTGGACAGGGCCTCGCCCGAGCGGATACAATAGCCTCGCTGAGCGCTACAGTGTAACACGCTCTCCTGGGGCTTCTCTGAATGAACCCTTCCGTCCCTGCAAACCCCAGAGGGGCCCGGGAGGGCGGTCTCCGTTTCACAGGCGGGAAACGAGGCCCAGAGAAGTTCAGTCCTTTGCCCACAGTCACACAGCTCGTGAGCAGAAGTGCAGGGGTCAGGGGCATGCACGTTTTTTTAAAAGCAATTTTTATTTTGTTATAATATTTAAGCCTATTACTTGAACCCTATTGTGTCCACCCGAGGATATTCCCTGTTGGTTTTTTATTTGTTTGTTTTGAGAGGAAGGGAGAGAAAAACATTGCTTGCCTCCCATGCACACCCCACCGGGAATCGAACCTGCAACCTTCCTGTGTGAGGGACGATGCTCCAACCAGCTGAGCCACCTGTAGACTAGTAAGGAGAAAACTGGTTCTTTCCCCCTTCTTTTTTTTTTTTTTTTTTGCCTTTTTTTTTGAGCAGAGGAAAGAGGAGAGTATCAGGCTTGTATTTTGAAAGGACCACATGTGTGCCCCCCCCAACAGGGTGCTGGGCTAAGGGCACGGAGGTGGGGAAGGAGATCTGGGGTCTCCTGCTCAGGATGGCAGAGGCCGCCAGTGGGGTCCCCTGGGCGGCTCCCCACCCCCAGAGGCGGAGCTGAGGGGACAGGCGGACCTGGGCTGGGCCTGTGGTGAGACCACTCTCCCCTTTGCTTCCTAGAGAACTTGGATGCCAGCCGGGAGCGGAGCCTGAGCCGGACCGCTGGAGCCTGGGTGAGTGGGCGGCAGGGAGGCCAGAGGTGCGGCCGCCGGCTGGTGCGGCCCTGGTCCTGCCGGGGCCTGTGGGTACACGCCTGCTCACGCGTCTGCCGGCGGAGCACGGCCAGGTCCCGCTCCCTGAGCCAGGTTTTGCTTGGTGTGTGTGTGGGGGGGGGGGCTGCGGGGAGGCTGGCAGGGTGTGTGCGTTGGAGCCTGAGTGTGGGCTTGTGGGAAGGGGCTGCTGTCCAGACCCTCCCTGGGCCAGCTGCAGAGGCGGGAACGGGCCTGACTTCTGGGAAGCGCACCTCCGGGCGCCGGCCAGGACTCCGGCCAGGAAAGCCAGCTGGTGCCGCGAGGAAATCCCCGCCGCCCGCTTCCCAGGCTGGGCGAGAACGGCCGCTTCCCGGGCTGGGCGAGAACGGCTGCTTCCCGGTAGGCAGGGGCAGCGGGGGTCTGGGCCACCTTCAAAACAGGAAGCGCCATTCCAGGAACTCCGAGGCAGGAAGCCTGCCGGCCGTGCCTGGCACTTCCTGCGCCGGCCTGCTGTCTGTCCGCCCGCCCCGAGGGCTCCGGTCAGGTGGGCCACCTCTCCGGGGCCTGCCAGGCGGGTCACCTGAGGCTCTGTTTGTGCGGGACGCGCCAGGAGCAGCTACCTGTGGAGGTGACGGCCCCTCCCGCCAGCCTGCCTGGCTGGGCTCGCCCTCCTGCCGGAAACCCACACGGCCCTGGGGCAGGGGCCCCCGGTGGCCCTGGCCTGCGCTCCGAGGGGGGGCGAGGGGCAGTGCTTGGTGGCTGAGCCAGGTCCTTGACCACAGGAGGCACTCCCTGAGCACCGGTTGACCAGCCCGGGCCAGGTTGGGGGGGCCGGGGGGCGTGGAGGGACAGGCCGGGCCCTCGCCCTGTGGGAGCCTGGGGGCGCGGTCAGGTGGACATTAACCACAGGAAGCCCGCAGCACTCTCTTCACGCTCCGTGACCACAGGTGTGAGCTGGCAGGGTTGAGGGAGGGGTCAGGGTCGGAGCTGAGAGCTGTTTCAGAAGGGGGGTCCCCCAGCCCGGCCCAGACTGCTGGGGTGCCTGGGCTCCCACAGCTCTGGCTCCGCCTCGCCCCCGCCCCCTCCACTGCTGAGTTCCCTCCCAGGCGGGTAACATTCCATTCATTCCCGGCTCAGCCAGCAGCCAGGCAGGCAGTGTAGCACCGCGGCTGGGGCTCTCTGGGGCTCTCGTGGGCCCTCAGCTCTCTGGGGTGAGTGGGGCCGGGCAGGCAGGGCCAGTGAGGCTTGAGGCCAAGGGGCTGGGTCGGCGCTCGGTGCAGAGCGGACTTTGGACGCAGGGGTGGGGACTCCAGGTCCTTTCCTTCCCGGAGGCCCCACAGGAGGGACTCCTGGCTGCTGCCCGGGACTTGGGGCCACTCCTGGTGGTACACCCACGTCTGGGGGTCTCCCCAGCTGACTCCTCCGCCCCCTGGACAGGCAGCCGAGCCTAGAGAGACTGTGTGGTGGGGACCCCTCCCCCCAGGGCTGGCCGGCCGGCCTGCTACACACGGTCCATGGGGCTTGTGGAGTCGTCCTCACTCTGACCAGAGCCCCCTCCTTCCCCTCCCCTGGCTCCTCCTCTCACAGCCTCCGCTGGGCCCTGCCCCTCTCCCCGCCCAGCCTCCTGCCCCCAGGTCCCTGCTGGGTCCTCTCCCTCCGGACACCCTGCCTGGGCACCTCTCCTCTTCCCAGGCCCTCAGGACACAGCGTGTGTGTGTGTGTGTGTGTGTGCGTGTGTGTGTGTGTGTGTGGTGGGGGGGGTTGGCCCTCAGGGCACAGCGTGTGCGTGTGTGTGTGTGTGTGTGTGTGTGTGTGGTGGGGGGTTGGCCCTCAGGGCACAGCGTGTGTGTGTGTGTGTGTGTGTGTGTGTGTGTGTGCGCGCGCCGGGGGGCGGAGGGGGCTCTGGGCAGAGGCAGGAGCTGCCTGACCGAGGGCTTCCTCGCGCCCAAGCAAGAAGGAAGCTGGTGGCACGTGAGCCCACGGGGTCCCAGTGAGCACAGCTTTGCTCACCTAGGGAGCCCTCTGCCCTGCCCCTGCCCGCTTCTTGGAGCAGGCGGCGTGGGCCAGTGCACGGGGTGAGGGGCTGGAACAGCAGTTACTGCTCGGGGAGTAAGCATCTGGGGAGGCGATGCTGTCTGAGGCGGCTGCCGAGGGGTGCCAGCTCCTCCGGAAGGGCCGGCGGCCGGTGGGGGCCGGGAGGCGGGGCCGGGCTCGCTCAGGCGCCGGGCATGGGCGGGGCTGCGAAGGTGTGGCGTCCGGCACAGGAGCCGTCGGGGAAGATGGCAGCCAGCCGGGATGGGGCTGGTGCGGAACCAGGAAGGGCAGTCTGGGGTGGCAGTGGGAGCTGGTGTGGGGTTCTGACCAGCACAGGGGGTGGTCCCAGGGTGAGGGGCTCGGCCAGAAGCCCCGCTGGGCTGGGGAGAGAGAGCCGAGGGTGGGTGCTCTCCAAGGACCACTCGTGGGCCTTGACCGCCCTCGCCTGGGGGCCTGGAGCCAGCCTCAGCGGCTCCTCCCTCGCCCTGTGGGCAGGCGTGTGGACCCGCCTACCCGCAGGCCGTGTGCTCGGAGAGACCCCTGCACAGGGACGCGGACACGGCCCGCCCCAGCCCTGGGGGCTGCCCCCTCGGACCCCGGGTCTCCCAGCTCAGACTGGGGCGGGGGCCAGGAGGCAGGCCCGGCTTTGCTGGTGGCTCTGGGCACAGAAGCAGCCTGAGCCGGGCTTCCCGTCAGGCAGCGCCGTGTGCCGGGAGGAGTGGCCTGCCCGTGGGTCTCTCTTTAAGTTTTCCGTGTTTTTAGCCGTGGCCGGGGCTGTCTGGTTGGAGCGTCTTCCCGGGCACCAAAGGGCTGTGGGTTCCATTCTGGTCAAAGCACATGCCTGGGTTGTGGGTTCGATGCCCAGCTGATGCTGCCCTCTCTCTCCCTGCCCCCTTCCTCTTTCTCTAAAAATCAATCAATCAAAACGTATCCTTGGGAATTTTTTTTTTAATTGTTTTTGTTGTTGTTTGTGGGCTTTTTTTGTTTGTTTGGTTGGTTTTTGTTTTTTTAGAGGGGGGAAGGGAGAGAGAAACATCATCTATCGGTGACTCCTGCATGCCTCCTACTGGAGATCAAGCCCATAACCCAGGAATCGAACCATGACCTTCTGGTTCAGTGGTCGGCAAACTGCGGCTCTTTGGCCCCTTGAGTGTGGCTCTTCCACAAAATACCACGGCCTGGGAGAGTCTATGTTGAAGAAGTGGCGTTCGAAGAAGTTGTTTAAAAAATTTGGCTCTCAAAAGAAATTCCAATCGTTGTGCTGTTGCTATTTGGCTCTGTGGACCAATGAGTTTGCCGACCGCTGCCCTGGTTCATAGGTCGACACTCAGTCACTGAGCGTTGGCCGGGCTGTTGGTCAGCCTGGCCCTCTGCTAGGGCTTGGGCTCTGGGGACAGTGCCCCTCGGGCCACCTGGACCTCCCGGGTCACGGCGTGGGCTGGGCCTGCGCGGGGGCGTGGAAGCTTCCCGAGAAGCTGCTCTGGGGCCTGGGGCCTGCAGGAGGCGGAGGCCAGGGTGCGGACCTGGGGCGGCCCCCGCCAGGCCCGCCCGTGCCTTCGAGGTGGCCAGGCCCCGTCACCGGTAGGACTGCTGGGCAGGGAGCCCCTCGGAGGTGAGAGTGGGCGTGTCTGCCGCACGGACGGTGGGGAAAGGCTGGGCACTCGGGCACATGGGCAGCCAGCCGTGCCCCTCCCCGGGCTGCGTCCTGATCACTCAGTCAGGGTCCAGCAAGGAGGGGGTCTGGGCGACCTTTGCAGGGGGACTTCCTACGCATGGACAGGTCCTCCCGAGGGGGGACGCCCCCTCCTGGGGCTCCAGCCCGCGTCCCGGGCATGTGCCACGACCGGTCAGGGCCTGGACCCTCTGGGGCCGCCCTGACCCTCCTCTCTTCTCGCAGGGGCCGGGGGGCGATGGCTCTGCCGCTCTGGGCCCTGACCCTCCTGGGCCTGCTGGGCGCGGGCTCGGGCCTGCGGCCCCGGAAGCTGGACTTCTTCCAGAGCAAGACGGAGCTGAACCACCTGGTGGTGGATGAGGCGTCGGGCACGGTGTACGTGGGGGCGGTGAACGCACTGTACCAGCTGAGTGCCGACCTGCAGCTGCAGCAGAAGGCGGACACGGGCCCGAGGCTGGACAACAAGAAGTGCACGCCGCCCATCGAGATCGGCCAGTGCCACGAAGCTGTGCTCACCGACAACGTGAACCAGCTGCTGCTGCTGGACCCGCCGGGCGGGCGCCTGGTGGAGTGCGGCAGCCTCTTCAAGGGCATCTGCGCCCTGCGCGCCCTCAGCAACGTCTCCACCCGGCTCTTCTACGAGGACAGCAGCGGCGAGCGGTCCTTCGTGGCCAGCAACGACGAGGGCGTGGCCACCGTGGGGCTGGTGAGCGCCACGGCCCCCGGCGGCGAGCGGCGCATGCTGTTCGTGGGCAAGGGCAACGGCCTGTACGACAACGGCGTCATCGTGAGCACCCGGCTGCTGGACCGCGCGGGCGGCCGGGACGCCTTCGAGGCCTACACCGACCACGCCACCTACAAGGCCGGCTACCTGGCCCCCAACACGCAGGAGTTCGTGGCCGCCTTCGAGGACGGCCTGTACGTCTTCTTCGTCTTCAACCAGCAGGACAAGCACCCGCCCCGCAGCCGCACGCTGCTGGCCCGCATGTGCAAGCATGACCCCTACTACTATTCCTACCTGGAGATGGACCTGCAGTGCCTGGACCCCGCCGAGCCGGCCGCCCCCTTCGGCGCCTGCCTGGCCGCCACCGCCGCCCCCGGCGCTGCCGCCCGCCGGGTCCTCTACGCCGTCTTCGCCCGGGAGGACCGGGGCGGCGGGGGGCCCCGGGCCGGCCTCTGCCTGTTCGCTCTGGACGAGATCAACGACCAGATGCTGGCCATCCGCAACGCCTGCTACACGAGCCCGAAGAAGGACCCCCCCGACTTCTACAAGCCCTTTCACGGGGAGATCCAGTGCGGCGGCCTCAGCCAGGTAGCGCGGCCCCGCGGGGCCCCCATGCGGGGAACTGCCGTGTGCTGGCGGGCGTGTCCCGGCCCTCCCTGCTCGGGAGGGCCCGTGAGCGTGCACGCGTGTGCGGTGTCTCTGTGGCCGGGGGGGGAGCAGGTGTGCCCACACAGCTGTGCTGGCACCGTCCACCGTGAGCTGGTCCTCGTTCTCGGGACGTGGCGGGGCCACAGGGTGCTGGGAGGGGCCCGTGGGAGAGGCCGTTGACGCCGTGGGCGGTCCGCAGGGCGACGGCAAGGACTTCGAGTGCGGCTCCGAGCACCTGCCCTACCCCCTGGGCAGCCGCAAGGGGCTCAACGCCACGGCCGTGCTGCAGCGTGGAGGCCTGAACCTGACGGCCGTGACCGTGGCCACCGAGGACGGCCACACCATTGCCTTCCTGGGCACCTCGGACGGCCAGGTCCTCAAGGTGAAGCCTGGGGCAGGGGCGAGGTTGGGTGGGGCAGGGGCGGGGTGGGGCAGGGGCGGGGTGGGGGTGGGGCAGGGGGTAGGGATGGGACGGGGTGGGGTGGGCTGGGCTGGAGGGCCTTCTCTGAGGGAACAGTACCCTCACGCCCCTGCCTGCCGCACACACAGGTGTACCTGGCCCCCGACGGCAGCTCTGTGGAGTACGGCTCCATCCTGGTGGAGATCAACAAGAGGATCAAGAAGGACCTGGTGCTGTCCGCCGACCAGGCCAGTTTGTACGCCATGACCCAGGACAAGGTAGGCCTGCGAAGGCCCCAGGGAGGGCCCGGTGGCCGGTCCGCTGTCCCAGGTCCCGAGGGTGCCCACGCGGACCGGGAAGGGCAGCCCTCCCCCCTGGGCTCCTGGCAGTCTGTCCCGCCCAGCACCTCCCCCGTCTGCAGCTCTGCTCCCCACGTCCTGCCTCGGACCCCTGCCGAAGGGAGGGCTGGGCTGCTCTGAGGGGGCTCCTCCAGGGTGGACGGGCATGAAACGGGAGGAGCCCCTCGAACCGGCCTCCAGAGCCCTGGGCCTGGGCACCCAAGGGCCTCTCCCAGGGAGTGGAGCAAAGGGGAGGCCAGACCCTGGCACCATGGTCTCCTGGGACCGTGCCCCGTGGGTGCTGGGCAGGTGCAGCCACAGGGCCCTGTGCTCCTCTCTGCTGCCTGGAGCATGTTGCCATGCCTTGAGTTGGCATCTGAGACTTTTTAAAAATACATATTTTTATTGACTTCAGAGAGAAAGGGAGAGGGAAATGGAAACATCAATGATGAGAATCATTAATTGGCTGCCTCCTGTATGCCCCATACTGGGGATTGAGCCCGCAACTCAAGCATGTGCCCTTGACTGGAATCGAACCCGGGACCCTTCAGTCTGTAGGCGACGCTCTATTCACTGAGCCAAACCAGCCAGGGCTAAATGTATTTTTATTGGTTTCAGAGAGGAAGGGAGAGGGAGAGAGAGAGAGAGAAACATCAATGATGAGAATCAATGATCGGCTGCCTCCTGCAGCCCCCTACTGGGAGCCTGCAACCCGGGCCTGTGCCTTGACTAGGAATCGAACCGTGATCTCCTGGTTCACAAGTCAATGCTCAGCCACTGAGCCAGGCCAGCCAGGTGGCACCTGAGTGTTAAGGCTCAGAGTTACAGGTGGGACCCAGCTGGTGGCCCCAGGAACCGGGTCCGAGGGGGTCCCGCTGGCTGCAGTCTTGCTCATGGCCCTGCCGCCCCCAGGCGTTCCGGCT